AATTCTCCATGGAAATTTTCAGGGCTTTGCTAGGTTCTTAAGTCTTAAGGGACTTCCCAGTCTGTGCATAGTTTCTGGCCTGTGTTATTGCCCAAGGTCTTGGCACCAGTATTTATTTCTTTCCTGTGTAAGCAACACATCTACCATCCAGCACACACTTTCACCAGCTCATTCCACCTCATCTATGTACAAACTCCTTGGTATTCTTTCTCTGCAGCTTTTGATAATAAAAATAATAAAATAACCAAAACTCCTAAGTCTTTACCATGTTTTAATTACTATTCTAAAAAAAATTACTATTCTAAATGTTCTTATGTATATTAACTCATTTAGTCTTTGCAATAATCCCACAAGATGGGTATTATTACCCCCTTTTGGTAAAGATTTGGTAAAGGGAACCTTTACCAAAGAGGTGGAATGACTGCCCAGGGTCCCACATAAGGGGAACCAGGATAAGAAACCAAGTAGGCTGGCTACAGAACCCACACTCTTTTTTTTTTTTTTTGTATATATTTTTTTTATTGGAGTTAGATTTGCCAACATATAGCATAACACCCAGTGCTCATCCCGTCAAGTGCCCCCCTCAGTGTCCATCACCCAGTCACCCCATCCCCCTGCCCACCTCCCTTTCCACCACCCCTTGTTCATTTCCCGGAGTTAGGTGTCTCTCATGTTCTGTCTCCCTCTCTGATATTTTCTACTCATTTTCTCTCCTTTCCCCTATAATCCCTTTTACTAATTTTTATATTCCCCGAATGAATGAGACCATATAATGATTGTCCTTCTCCAATTAACTTATTTCACTCAGCATAATACCATCCAGGTCCCTCCACGTCAAAGCAAATGGTGGGTATTTGTCGTTTCTAATGGCTGAGGAATATTCCATTGTATGCATAGACCACATCTTCTTTATCCATTCATCTTTCGATGGTCACTGAGGCTCCTTCCACAGTTTGGCTATTGTGGACATTGCTGCTATGAACATTGGGGCACAGATATCTCAGTTTTTCACTGCATCTGTATCTTTGGGGTAAATCCCCAGCAGTGCAATTGCTGGGTCATAGGGCAGGTCTATTTTTAACTCTTTGAGGAGCCTCCACACAGTTTTCCAGAGTGGCTGTACCAGTTCACAATCCCACCAACAGTGCAAGAGGCTTCCCCTTTCTCCTCATCGTCTCCAATATTTGTTGTTTCCTGCCTTGTTAATTTTCCCCATTCTCACTGGTGTGAGGTGGTATCTCATTGTGGTTTTGACTTGTATTTCCCTGATGGCCAGTGATACGGAGTATTTTCTCATGTGCTTGTTGGCATGTGTATGTCTTCTTTAGAACCCACACTCTTAACTACTATGAACAACCTCTTTCAGAGACAATGAACCCTTCAAATCATGTGGCCATGGCTCTGGCAGAAAGAAATCTCTTTATCTCTCATCTGTTAATCCCTGAGGAAAAATATTTTGGTCATGTAAAGCATTTAAAAAGTTCCAGGAAAAATAATAGATGCCAGTAGAGCTGTCTAAAGGGAAGGACTTGAATCTATACCTTGGTAAAAAATTGTGACATTGGCTAACACTGATAAGAGCAAGAAGAACTCATTCCTTTCTGCTGAGCTTTAGTTCAGGAAATACCTCCCCATGAAGGTCTGGATAATGAGCCTCTCTGAATGTAACCAAAGGTAGAGGAAGGATCAAAAATGCTTTGACTCTTTGTGAAAAGTTTCCTAGACACTGCTCAGCTTTGCTTTGGCACAAATACCTCAATGGTGAGGTCACTTACAGTTTTTGTTTGTTTGAGTGTCAAAGGCTTCTCTGAGGCTGGATTCTCCTACACTACAGTGAATCTGTTTTGTCATCTGGATGGAATAAGTCTGACAAAAATTAAATTCTTTGAATTAGAAGGATTAGGATGAGGGAGAAGCCAGAAAGGAAAGAGAAGGAGAGAATTGTCCGTTAGAGATTTTTGTGTAAAATTTGTAATTGTGGGGCAGACCGGGTGGCTCAGTGGTTTAGCGCCTGCCTGTGGCCCAGGGCCTGATCCTGGAGACCTGGGATCGAGTCCCACGTCGGGCTCCCTGCATGGAACCTGCTTCTCCCTCTGCCTGTGTCTCTGCCTCTCTCTCGCTCTCTCTGCTTCTCTCATGAATAAATAATAAAAATAAAAATCTTTTTAAAAATTTGTAATTGTGTCTTGGGCAGGAGGGAAAACGAGTGCTTAAGCTCGTTCTCCTGCCATATCTGAAGAAATTCATCTCTAACAAAACTCTCGGCTGAAAAGAGTTTTTGTGTCAGAAATAGTTTAGGGTTGCCTCCTCTTTTACGACACACTATTTTATTTAATAGACAAATATTTACCAAGTACCTATGAGGTGCAGGCTCTACCAATCTGGAATAACCACTGATATCAGCCACTGAAATTCATCAGTGTGTAAGTTAGATTAGTACTGAAAAGAAATCAGGGAGAAAACTTATTTTATTTTTTTAAAAAAAACACCTAGGATTAAATATTTTAGAGCATGTCTCTATAATTAAGAAAATGTACTCAATCAGTTTTTCAATTTCAACGCATACATAAGACTATAATTCAGTCACAGTGATGTTCCTGGTGTTAGAAGTTCAACAGGAAACCACACCCTTTTGATAATGAGAATTCTGTTGTGACATAAACTTCCTTTCTATGAATGGTTTTCCGTATCTGACTCAGAGGAGAAGACAATGAGAAGGTGGGCCCCCTATTTTCAAGCTTTAAAAAACTATCATTATTTTCCAATTATTATTTCCTCCAAAGAGAAATCATTAGTCCTTTTCTGAAATTCCTTTAGAATTACTCCACAACTTTAGTAGCAATTTGTATGCACTGTGTTGTTCCTCCCCTATAAGACTGTAAGTTCCTTGAGAGGAAGATCTATTGAAGATTCTGCATTATATTCCATACATGTTTACTGAGTTAACTAATGAGCACATGCATTAATTAAGTTTACCTCTATTCTCATGCATAAATTCTACTTTCTCATGTATGTCCTTGAGAAATCCTTGTCCTTGTTTCATGTTATTTTACCTTTGTTTATGCTGTTCCTCTGCCTGTCATACCCATCATTCTTGCTGATTCCTCCTTCTCTGCCTCCAAAAGCCGATTCAAAGGATAAGTTCTTTAAGGTAAAACCATTTGTACCACTCGTTTCTCATAGCTTATTGGATTATTCTGTCATGACATTTATCACTTGAATTTTACTAGTTACTTAGCCACTAGATTACACGTTCTTAAAGATAGGAGACTATGTCTTATTCATCTTTGAATCTCAAGCAGAAAATGTTTGGCACTCAGAAGAAACTTGGTAAATGTTAACTGAATGAGTTCATGATTATCCATGATCTTCTGTTAATAAAGATGGTGAATATTTTCGTCAGCAATTTCCTTACCCCAGCAGGACCCCAGCTCTTCTAAAGATACTTCAGATGTTTGCATATTTTAAGACTCATGTCTTACTATGAACCAAAGAGTGGTAAGCACTTTGGATCCTTCCAGAAACACAGCAGGACTCAGAATTAGTACTACCTGATTGAGATAGTCATGAGAGCTCAGGTTGATGGTTCTGGGGTGAGGAAACTGCCTGTAGCTTCTTTGCCCAGATATAGGAATAAAGAAGTATCCCTACTTTTTCCAGATTATTGATGCCAAAAGTCCCACCCTCAGTTGATATCTTCAATTATTTAGTGGGGATCTACTTTCTACTTTACCACAACCAGCTACCAATCCAGAGAAGGTGATTCTTTCTTCTGCTTTTCCATGTATAACTTTAGCAGATCAAGAACTGGTACTTTTAACCTTCAGAGCCATATTCTTGCCCATTTCTCCTGTGGATGATATCTTCCTAGACAACCTATGCCAGTCAGCCTCATTCTAGCCTACCTCAACTCTGTAATTGTTCAGATTTAGTCTTCCATGCTTTTTGCCATACTTACATACTTTGGTACTGTTATTGCTTTGGCATTTTTCCTTTAATTGATTCCTTATTTACTCAAGTAAATATAGCCTTATTGCATCTAATACCATCTATTAAAAATCACAGGTTTGAAATCCTATAACCCTATGAAATAGATATACATAAAATACATCAGTGGTCCTCATATCACAAAGTTCCTGGGTCCAAAGCTCTGAGGGTCACTATTTATTTGCCTGTTCATTATATTAATAATCTTTTTGGTTTACTTACTATTTCTTCCTTACAGTTCTATTTTCTTTTCTTCAAGCTGTCCTATTTTAGATGCTCTTCATATGCATTACAGATTACTTGTTTTATAACATGGGGATTATAGGATTAAGAATAGAGTTCTGAAAAAAGTCCCCAAAACCCAAAATCTAGTTCCAAATCTCCCAAAATTCAATTTTGAGATTTTATCTTTATTATTATTTGAGTATAATTGACACACAATGTTATATTATTTTCACTTGTACAACTTAATAATTTGACAAGTTTATGCATTATGCTATGTTCAACACAAGTATAGCTACCATCTGTGCCATTACATTGTTAATACCTTATCAGTGACTGTGTCCAACTTGGAGTTTTACTAATCACTCTGAGCCTCTGTTAGTTCATGCTAGAATGTGAGGAGTGACCCAGATGCCCTCATTCTTTGAGGTTTTTTAGATTTGAAGCACATGAACCAAATATATATTTTTAGTTCATTTACAAAGAAAAAAAATATTTCAGAATACTAGCATAATGAACCAGGAAGTCTATGAAGCAGTAGTCAACTATAGTATAATTCTGACTTTTTAAAAATATAAAGTCAAATACCAATCAGTGATATTTTTCATTGACAGGATTTTTATATTTTTTTTATAGAACAATATATTCAGATGTTACCAAACGCAATATGGGCTAAACATGAATTCTAGGGAAAAAACCAAACCAACCATTCTATATCAAAACTATGCAAAACTAAGTTTTTAGTATTTAAGTTTTGTTTGACTTTAATATACAACTCTCTCTCTCAAAAGGCCTGCAATACTGGGTAGAAGGACAAGTTCACTGAGACCATGGATGACAGCCCTTATTGTCACAGCTGTTGTGTTGGTTCTAGCAATAATCATCGGTCTCCTTGTTTATTTTTTGGCATTTGGTAAGAATCTTTCTCATTGTATTCTTTTGAAATTTTGAAGATCTACTCAATTTATTTCAAAACCTAATAATATTCTCTAATATTTTGGAGTGTAATTTTCATTGAAATAATACTTTGCTTAATTAAATGTATGCAAATTTTGCATCATGCAGTATTAATTTACATAAACTTCTCTACATTTGGGAAATGAGTATCTTTTTTGTATAAAAATAACTTCCAGCATTTAAAATTTGAACCGGTTCACATAATATTATCTCTTAAATAATGCAATACATCTTTTGTTATTATATGGTTTAATAACGTTTAATGTACTGAAAGTAAAAACATTTTAGTAGCAATTCTGACTTCAAGGTTAATTTATGAGAATATATTGCATTCTATCATGATCTAATTAACAGCTTAAATTTATGAATTATCACTAATAAGTAATAATTTTATCATAAAACAATTGACAACCACATGGCTATGAGAATATGTGATCTTAAAAATGGATTAGAAATAGTTGCAAATCATACATATGATAAGGGGTTAATATCCACAATATATAAAGAAGTCAAATAACTCAATAGCAAAAAGCCAAACAATCAAATTTAAGAATAGGCTGAAGACCTGAATAGGCCTTTCTCTGAAGAAAACATACAGATGGCCAATAGGCACATGAAAAGATGCTCACCATCACTCATTATCAGGGAAATGCAAATCAAAACAAACAGTGTATGTTCTCACTCATTTGGGGAATATGAATAATAGTGAAGGGGAATATAAGGGAAGGGAGAAGAAATGTGTGGGAGATATCAGAAAGGGACACAGAACATAAAGACTTCTAACTCTGGGAAATGAACTAGGGGTGGTGGAAGGGGAGGAGGGCGGGGGGTGGGGGTGAATGGGTGACGGGCACGGAGGGGGACACTTGACGGGATGAGCACTGGGTGTTATTCTGTATGTTGGTAAATTGAACACCAATAAAAATTAATTTATAATAAAAAAAAAAAAAAAAAAAAAAAAAAAAAAACCACAATGAGATATCACCCCATATCTGTTAGTGTGGCTAGTATTGAAAAGAAAAAAAAAAACAAGTATTGGCAAGGATGTGAAAAAAAAAGGGAAAACTTGTACACTGTTAGTGAGCATATAAATTGGTACAGCCACTATGGAAAACAGTATGGAAGTTCCTAAAAAAATTAAGAATAGATCTACCATATAAGTCAGCTAATCTACTTCTGGGTGTCTGAAGAAAATGAAAACACTAATTCAAAAAGATAAATGCACCCCCAAATTTCACTGCAGCTTTATTTACAACAGCCAAAATATAAAAACAACCTAAGTGTCCATCTATGGATGAATAAAGAGGATGTGATATATATGTATATATATGTGACATATATACATATACATATATATATATACACATATATATATGTCACACATATATGGAGTATATACAATTATTATGTTGCACACCTGAAACTAATATAATGTTATATACACATTTTACTTAAAAAAAAAAAGGTTAGAGAGAGGTATTGGCCACAGCTATTGTATGTTTAATTCCCAAGAGTTCATCCTTATAGGACTTTTTTGCATGTTATTCCTTCTACTTTGATATTTATACAACTCAACTGAATTAAAGAGAAACTATCCATGTTTGTTCTCCCTTCCAGATCAGAAATTTTACTATTACCAAACCTCGTTCCCAATCCCCAGTATTGAATATAATCCTGACTTTTCAGTTGAACACTCAAAAATGAGACGAGACCTGAAACAAAAAGTCAGTGATGAGGTAAGTCTGTCATCATTCCAACTCTGACAATACCATGGTGAAGAAGGTTAAAATAAAGAGATGAGTTGAGAACATATCAAATTGTACCTATGCTGGTGATGCCAGATAAAATGCAGAATGCTCAGTTAACTTTTAATTACAGATCCTCCCCAAAACATATTTCATTCAGTGCTTTAAACATGTTTATATTAAAAATTATTCATTGTTTGTCTGAAGTTAAAACTGAACCATATTTTTGTCTACTAATCCTGGCAACTCTAACCAACATTATCTCAGGAAAATTGGAGAAATACATTGGACAAAGAATAATTGCACCAAAGACCAAATAATAGAAGACCGACAGAAAAAGTGAATAGCTCAAATATAAAAAATAAAAGCATTAGAGTTATCTGAAAACATAACTCCATCATTCAGGCACAACATTACCATGTATGTGACCTAATATGTATTTGACCCTGATACATTTCCCATTAGGCAACTTACACTAAACATTTATTCCTGAAAATATACCACAGAACCATACAGACTAGCTCTTCCATTAAAGGCTTCAGTTGTGCACATAGCTTCTACCAAGCCTAGCACTGACCAAAGATGACAGATCATTCTTGCCAGGTTCACAAATATCTCTTAATCCATTTCCCAACCAAAAGCAGCAGCTAATGAAATGAGTTAAAGGATGCAACTGAGTAGGGTTAGCATGTCTTTTCAAAAATACATCCAAAGGAAATTTTGATTAAGGAAAAAACGATCAGGGCAGGGTATTATGTTGTATAAAGCAATATGTTGAAGAACAGACAGTCTAAACTTTGAAGTAAGGACATCTAGATACATATTTAAATTTTACTTCTTGATAGTTTATGAGCTTTGGAAAAGTTACTTGACCCTTCAAAGCTTCAACTACAAAATTTTACCTACTTCTCAGTTATTCTGAGAAATGGTATGTTGTGAATAAAAAGTATAAAATTTATATCCGAATAAATATAAGCATCTGTTTTCTGTGTTCTCACAGAGCTTTCATACACCTATGCTAAAGCGCTTACCACCTTGTTACATCATTATTATTTTGTATGTCAGTGCCCCTCTGAATTTGTGAAGGGCTACGCTTATTTATTCTTATATTCCTGGTGCCTGTAACAGTGTCTGTCTGCCACATGGTAGGACCATAAAAATACACTTCAAGAAGATAACCATAAACAAAAGGCCAACTTACTAGAATTGGCCCTCTCCTGTAGAGTATAAATGGAGACAACATAAATAAGGGAAGTACAGTAATTTAGACCACAAGTTAGCATTTTTTTTCTGTGAGATGCCAGATAGTATTTTCAGCTTTGGAAGCTATTTGGTTTCTGCAACTATTCAAATCCGTCATTTGTAGTGCAAAAGCAGCCATAAGCAATACATCAACAAATGAGTATGGCTACAGTTCAATAAAATTTCTTTATGGACACTGAAAGTAGAATTTTGTTAAGTTTTAAGATACTGCAAAACATTATTGTTATTCTTGTTTTTCAACTAAAAAAATGTGAAGACCATTCTTAGATGATGGTCCAGGCAAAAACAGTGGCTGTCTAGATTTACCCTATAGGCTATAATTTGCTGACCCTGATTTAGACTGTAAGTTACAGTTCTAGGTAATATTGTCCTGGAATAAGTTATTAAAACCATGCCTAAAATGAATTTTAAAAACTTTGTGTGGAGTTCAATAATCTCAAATGTTTATATGTTAAATTGCCATGGGTAATACATAGTTTACAAAGCTATGATTTTAGAGAAACAACAAAAAAGTGGTGAAATTGGAAAGAAAATGGAAGGAGGCAGACAGAAAACTTACAATTATATATAAGATCTATAAAGGTCGTATATAATATATATATATATAAATGAACGTAGAAAATATGGAAGTACATAACCAACAATGCAAATAGCAGGTTCTCTATACAGCAATTTAGAAATGATTTTGTTACTTTTCATTATACTTTGCTGTATTGGTTGCTTTTTATAACTTTTTACAATGAACATGTATTTGTTTTGTCAAAAAATGTACATGTGTATATAAAACTATTTCCTTAAAAACAAATTTCCCTTCATAATCAGCTAGAAGGAAATCAAGTGGTCATTCATTTTTTAAAACCTATTGACTTAATAAACATGCTCACCAACCTATCCAATATGATATTTACATGGCATTTTACCAGGAAAAAAATGACAAATCAAGTTAGTTGAGTGAAAAGTATATATTCAACACACAACCAGTTTCAAATTTGGCAGCTCTCCTGATTTTTGAAACTAATTATTGAGACTCAGGTTTATTTAAGGTTTGACATATGGTCAGTCTGTTTTTCAAGAAGCCACCTTGATGAGTCAATGGTAATAAACAGGTTTGTAAAACCACAGATTCTGTATTAAGCTGTGGTTTTAATAAGAAATAATTTCTTCTAGGATTTTATACTACAGAAAAATTATCCCATTGAGGAAGTCTAAAATGGCATACAAATGGCACAGTTTTGTCTTATTCTAAGTAATCATTTCATGTATTTTTCTTGATAAGTATATTCTTTTTAAGAAAATACCTGACAAATATATATTCTCTCCTTCACTTACCACAGGATCAAAACATGACCTAAAACATTTCACTAAAGCCTACAAAACTGATCCTTCAATCATACCCATGATGATGATAACTGAGCTTGAATGATAATGACTGATAATTCCATACATAGCCAATTTTCAAAGAAATTCAGTCTCAGCACCTCCATCTCCAAGTATATTTTATATTGGCTACTGAAATATCTAGCTTAATTCAACTCCTGATGTATATCAGCGATCCTTGTTCATGTGACAAGTTGTTCAAATATCAGCATCTGAATATAGAGATGACCTTTATGACAACAGGATTATGTCCAAATGAGCTTTCTGAGGATAGCTGCAAACAAACTTAGAAATAAATGTTATTACTGCAGGTTTTATACAGGCAATTTTGTGAGATGTTGAAATGTGTGATTTCAAATCTCGAAAAGTTCTACACTGTTGGTTTTTTTCTTTTCTCAGATAGATAAGATATTTCGAAGATCCAGTTTAAATCATCATTACATCAAGTCTCATGTTGTTGACTTTAGGTAATCACAATTAATTAATTTTTATGATGAAAGGAAACTTTATATTACTTATTTTTCATTGTTTGATTTGTGGATAGTATCCAAAAATGTTAGATTTACCAAGAGCAAAAATATTTTAATATTATTTCATTTAATTGTTATTCCTCCTGTAGAGGGTACCTATAGAGAGAGAATTTCTTAGCTTGGTAGTGATACAATATATTCTACTGGCTGTCCTCTTAAAGACTTTTGCATTTCAGTTAAAGAATCTTACAATCTTTGAACAGTCTTCTCCATTTTACTTACTTTATTTTTTAACAATAGATATTGCAAATTTTTAAAAATCAAGAATAGAGTTGATTAATTTAACAAGCCCTTTTGATGCATTTTTTTCTGGAAAAGAAATTATAGAACTGTTAGATACTCAGCTTTCTCTGATTATAATCAAGTTTTACAAGCAGGGAATAATTTGGGTATTAACGTCTATATGATACAGGAAGGAGAGAAATCCATGACAATAAAATATATACAATATGTTGTATTTTCTTGAAGATATAGCTAGTATTTAAATGCTAAGATATAAAATAATCATAACTATGGTTATGATCTCACTTATTCTGGTGTTTTTCTTTTTCAGGTCAAGTCATGATGGTTTGAAAACAGATGTATTGCTTAAGTTTCAGTTTGCTTCTAACAATGCAGACACGATAAAAAGGCAAGCTGACAAAATTTTGCATCAGAAGTTGAAATTAAATGAAAGCTTCTTGAAGATAGATACTTCATTACCTTTTCTTAGAGGCAAGAAATCCCATTTTCCTTCCTTTTTAGAGTTTATCATTTTAATGATCTTATCTATAGAGAAAGCTTCATTTCACCATAAAATGAAATTCCTTTTCATTTTTGAATTTCTCATCTACTTGATAGTAAACAAATCCCCACACAACAGCAAAGAACATATTCCTTTGATTAGTATAGAAATAATTATGAAACAAAAATTGTAGGATAACCCAAATATAATAATATTTCTTTTTTAAAAAGAACTCTTGGTGGAGTTGTTTGAATCAATTAAGCATGTATAAGAGAAAAAAGAAAACTACACTCAGCTACTGATATAGTAACTATAGTGCCTGGTTCTTTCTGTTGCAATACTCTCTCCAATAAGAATCCGGAATGTAAGGGTAGTATGAACGCAGAAATCATGATATGTGGGGCACAAACATGATTTTGTCTCCTGTGAAAGGAGACTTGTAATTTTTTTGTGACACAATCAGGATTGGCCCGGGCATAGAGGAGACAGAAGAAGAAAAATGCCAGACCTTCATGATACCTGTCTCTGGCATAAAGGTACCATGTCATTTGCAACACAGGCATAAGGAACTAGGTGATAAATGTTTGGGGTGTGAGATTAAACAAAACTCATAATTCCAAGGCTATTGTTAGCCTTGTATATATTAACTTTGAAGGTACCATATTGTACAAGAATATGTGTAAACTATGAAATGAGACTGTAAGGCTGACAAATAATTACAGATACCAATAAGGTTTCCCTTGGTACATTTTCCCTCAAAACTGTTCCAGAGGGCTAGAGCAGATATACTATAATATGCTAACAGAAGAGAAAATTGCATTATAGGTTTGGTGAAAGTCAAAAAGAAAAAAAAATAGCTTGAAGAACTTGAAGTTTCTGTGAGTAATGCCCAACATTCAGTTCTGTTAATCATGCAGATAGAACAGAGTAGACTCTGAATCCAATGCACTGTGCTTTAGATAGCAGAGACAAGACTTTCTAAAGAAAACATTTTGTTGAAGGATGTAGTAAGTATGTGTGAAACTCTGATTTTTTTAAAAAAATTAATTTAATCCTGAGCTCCCATTAAGCCAAATGTTACAAATTTAAACTCCATCGTTCCTGGATCTATCTGCCCACCCTGACCCCCACTTTGTTATGTTAGGGTACTTAGGTCCTTCACAGTGTTGCTGGATCAGAGTGAGGGATGGGTCCATTCAGGCATCTACTGGCAAACCATCCATCAACGGATCTTTGGTAGCCTATCAGGGCAAGTTACTGTTAAGACATTACTCATTCACATGGAATGTCTCCTCAGATTCATCATTCATCCTGAGTCTTCTGTGCTTGCCAAGGATGCTTGGAAATTAATTTGCATATATTTTAAAAATTTCATCTTTTTCTGCAAAAGACTGATAATTCCTTGAATATAAGAAATATGTCTTCTGTAGTTACAATCACATCCCAAGATTAGCACAGAACTCAGCACAGGGCAGGAACTTGGTATTTGTAAAATGTTCTATCTTTAACTCTGTAGATGAACTCATACTCTTGAAAGTGGGCAGGAAACAAAAGCAATCTTAAAATTAACAAACACCACAGAACACTGAGGAAATCATTCCTCTTTCCATGTAGAGCTTTAGAATTACATGGGAATACATAAAAAATTTTAAAAACATATCTTGGGTTTCATAGGGCAAGAGAAATCATTTCAGTATATACAGTAAAAAGAAAATGCATGGAGTGCATTCTATGGGAGCGTCTGCAGGTAGTGGTGGGAAGATCCTCAAGGCTAGAATTCAGGAGACCTGTGTCTCAGTAATAGTTCAGCCTGGGGTAGGTTGCTGAAACTGTCTCAGTTCCTGTTTTGCAAAATGAAAACAGTAGCAACTATGAAACTTATCTTTTAGAAAAATCTAAAAATGCTTTGAAAAGGACTAGTATAAATACACTAACATAATGCATTATTATATGGACTTTTTCAGATATCTTTAGCAATTCTGATTCTAGGAAGTTGGATAATTGATAGGATGTCTTGAAAAAGGTAGCTGAAAAACTAAAACACACAGAGGGCCCCAAAACACAAATATTGGAAGAGTCAGTTGGTTAATATCTTAAGTCTAACACAGAAGAAACAATTCTGATAATCAAAAGTAATTAATAAATCAAAAGTAATTTATACAGGATCATAATAAAGCTCAAGGGGAAGCTTTGAGTTTAGCTTTCAAAGTCAATAAGTGCAAGTTTGAAAAATAGTTGCCTATGTAAATCTTCTTTTTACAACTGCAGAATTTAAAATGCTCGTGGATATAATTAGGTGACTTTTTTCTAAAATGTCTAGCTTTGTGAAAATTTCTTCTCATTATATAGAAGTCAGAATTCTCTCCAGTGATTCCAAGTGAATAGATTTTTGAAAAAAAAGGAAAGAAGGAAGGAGGGAAGGAAAGAAGGAAGGAAGAAAGCAGGGCAAGAGGAAGGAAGGAAAGAAAAAGGAAAACAATTAGTTGAAGAGCAAGTTAGCTAAGATTGTCAGAGTTTCATAAAACTGTACTTTTAGTCTTTGATTTTACTCTATGACAACCTTTCATGAAATTAAGTAATTATTTTATGATCCCCAAATATGTCTCTATTTCTGTTTCCTTTCATCATTTAAATACAAAAAAAATAAAGAAAAATAGATGGAATTTACCTGTAGGGAAGAAAAAGAATTTTCCCTCTACCTTTCTGAGTTCTTGACTATAAAAAAAGATCCCTGTAATAAAGATGTTACCAAGAAAAAAAGAAACAGAAGTTTATTAACGTGGGAAATAACTAAGTGAAAATGAGTAGCTCAAAGAGATGGCTTAGACTCTGGCTTGTAGAACAATAAATTTGTGGAGAAATGACAGGACAAAGGAGAGCAGTTTTATATAGGCTTCTAAGGGCAGAGATAAAGGCTGGTTAGTAAAGTGTTATGAGGATTCTTTCGGTGCCTTTCCCAGGCTGATAAAGTCCAAAATGGTCTCTAGGGATTAACCTTTCTCATTCCTGGCAAAGAGAAGAGGAGGAACCCCTTTGTAAATTTATGTTCTACTTTTAGGTAAGTTGGGGAAGAGCAAGAGGAATTTCTTGTATCTGCTTCTTAATTGCCTTTGACTCAAAAGAATTCATATGCCAAAGTGGCATATTTTGGATTGGCATAATCTGACGCTCCTTACATTCTAGGAGAGGGTGTAGGTGGTAGATTTTTGAAAAAATCTTTTATGTCAATTATGTTTGTTTATTTCATGATGTTTTTAAAATGTGTAAACTTTGCCTCAAAGTCTTTGTGAATTGCCTCAGATCAAAGCCAAATAATACGTGATATCACCTTTACTTTATACTAGCTTAATTTAAATTTTTTTAAACATTTAAAAATGGTTTTGCTGGTCTCAAAGTTTTAAGCCAGTACTGCTTCTACCATGTAAATTTAGTACATAGCATATTTTGTGGCAAGTTTTATTTAGCATAAGAAGTAAACCAGAAGGATTTATCTTCAGTATTTCATTTAACACATTTTGTGTCTTATTTCCAATTAAAAAGCTATACTATCTTCTTTAATCAGATCCAATATCCCATCCTATTGAAATAAATTTTGGTTTAGGTAGAAAAGTGAATATTTAGTAATAATAAGAAACAAATCACAAAAAATCACAAATTTTAAAAAGCTAATACTCTAAATATCATACAATCCAAAAAAACACATTATTTTTATAATTAATTTCTTGGTATACCCCTATAATACCTTACTGTTTTCCCCTTACATTTTTTGGACTGCATACTCTGATTAGTTCTTCAAATGACAATGTTTTATAATATTCTACAAAAAGAATAGAAAGATAATTTAGACTTTCCACTGGGATGCTTGATTTATTTAATTTAAATTCAATTAATTAACATATAGTGCATTATTGGTTTCAGAGGTAGAGTTCAGTGATTCATTAGTTTTATATAATCTCCAGTGCTCATTATATCAAGTGCCTTCCTTAATGTCCATCACCCAGTTACCCCAACCCTTCTCCCTCCCAGCAATCCTCAGTTTGTTTCCTATGATTGAAAGTCTTTTATGGTTTGTTTCCCTCTCTGATTTTGTCCTTTTTTTCCCTTCCCTTCCCCTATGATCCTCTATTTTTTTCTTAAATTCCACATATGAATGAGATCACATGATAATTGTCTTTCTCTGATTGACTTATTTCGCTTAGCATAACACCCTCTAGTTCTATTCATGTCATTGCAAATGGCAAGATTTCATTTTTTGATGGCTGGGTAGTATTCCATTGTATATATATACCACGTGCTCTTTACCCGTTCATCTGTTGATGGACATCTGGGCTCCTTCCACAGTTTGGCTATTGTGGACATTGCTGCTATAAACATTGGGGTGCAGGTGCCCCTTTGGATCATTACATTTATATCTTTGGGTAAATACCTAATAATGCAATTACTGGGTCATAGGATAGTTCTATTTTCAACTTTCTGAGGAACCTCCATACTATTTTCCAAAGTGGCTGCACCAGCTTGCATTCCTACCAACAGTGTAAGAGGGTTCCTCTTTCTCCACATCCTCACCAACATTTTGTTTCCTGTCCTATTAATTTTAGCCATTCTGACTTATGTGAGGTAGTATCTCATTGTGGTTTTGATTTGTGTTTTCCTGATGATGAGTGATGTTGAGCATTTTTTTTCATATGTGTATTGGCCATTTGTATGTCTGGAGAAATGTCTGTTCATGACTTATGCCCGTTTCTTGATTGGATTATTTGGTTTTCGGCATTGGATTTGATGAGTTCTTTATAGATTTGTATACTAGCCCTTTATCTGATAAGACATTTGCAAATATCTTCTTCCAGTCTGTCAGGTGTCTTTTGGTTTTGTTGCCTGTTTCCTTTGCTGCACAAAAGCTTTTTGTCTTGATGAAGTCCCAAGAGTTCATTTTTGCCTTTGTTTCCCTTGCCTTTGGAGACATATCTAGGAAGAAGTTGCTGCAGCTGAG